GGGGGGGGGGGGGGGGGGGGGGGGGGGGGGGGGGGGGGGGGGGGGGAGAGAGGGAGAGAGAGACACACACACAGAGACAGAGAGACAGACAGACAGACAGACAGACAGACAGACACACGAAGTCACGGAGATAGACAGAGACGAGACAGAGGCGGACAGAGACAAACAGGCAGAGAGACAGAGGCAGAGACAGACAGACAAACAGCGACAGAGATGGAGATGCAGAGAGGAAGAGAGTGGGTTGAATATTTGATCCCAAACCAACACCAAGTTATGTAGAAAAATAGCCAGAAAGCAGAGCGTGAAGCACAACACGGAAAAACACTGCGCTTGTATGTATCGGACGTGAGGTGAGACTCAAAAGGGATTGCCGCGCTACCATGCTCAGCGGGGTGTAGCGTTGTCAAGTGCCTCCTGTTTCGACCTCGCTGCCGCAGGTATTGCCACCACAACCACCACTGCAATAGCAACGATTACGACCGCAAAACTACCAACTGCGATTGTCTCGTGCTCCCTCTACCCACCGTCCGGGGCTTTCTTTGTATGGATGCGAGCTCAACGGTTTCACGACTACGGCATGCACGGCTATGAGTACATCCCCCGTACACACCTTGTCGAACCTGCTGAGCTCCTCGATGGGCTTGAGGCGATTGTGGTAGACCTCTTGGAGGGCGTCGATCACCGCTTGCGCCTCCCGATCGCGTCCGGAAACATCAGGGTCCTGGCGGTACCGTGGAGGGAAAGAGAGAGCGGCCACACCGCCCCGTCCATTGCTGTCACTCAGACACATGAAAAGGCATCACGCTGCCGTATTCCATAAGAACCCCCCCCCACGTTCTCAAAATCTATTATTCGCCGCGGTAGCGGATACTGTTTGAGATAGTGTTTTTGGCCTGACCCGACCATGAGAAAAAGCTATTCTACACGGTACGGTGCAAGAGACTTGCTGGCTTGTCCCAACCCTCTCTTCAACCATGGCCGTGGCTGCTACTGTATCAATAATCATCTCATGTACTGTTTGTCTTACACTTCGTGAAAATACCAAACCCGCGTATCTGCCATCATGGCCACCGCCGCGTAACGGCTGCACGACCAACAAAGGAACAGCCTTACTTCGAACTACCCAAAAGCTTCAGGGCTTAAGGCTACACTCCGTCATAGACCTGAACCCTTGCTCACATATCGCATTATCTCCGACGGCACTGACAGGGGCGACCCGTCTTCACCCAAACCATCGAACGGTCCTCGGTGAGGCCAGCTCCCTTCCCCCCCCGGGTGAGAAGACACGCTCCCATCCGCGCGCGCCCCAGCAGCAGCGGTGTCGCTGCGCCACCCCATCTCATTGGTAGACAACGGCGGCACCCCCGCCTCGTCCACCATCTCCTGTTTGTCCCCCTCCTCCTCCTCCTCCTCCTCCTCCTCCTCCTCCTCCTCCTCCTCTGCCGCCGCTGCTGTTGCTGTAATGCCGACGCTCCGTCCGGCAAGCAGGCTGACGTTGCCTCCGCTTTCCAGCTCGGTCGGTCGTTGCGGATTACTATGGCACGATCCCTCGTTCTCGAACCCTCCTGCTGCTTGCGCTCCTTCCCGCGAACGTTCTTCTCGTCGTCTTCCCCCAACGTCGACGTCGTCGTCGGCTATGCCGCCGTTGCTGCTGTCGTATGGGTGGACCCGATCACCGGAAAACAAGCCTTCCGCGGTATACCCCTCCTGGTGGCGGAACCATGGTTTGGTGGGCGAAATGATGTACCACAAGAAGCATGTATGGGTGACACAAGATACCACATCCTCCGGAACGATTGTGAAACTCCAGGATGCATGGATCAAACGAGACGTTGTCGGAAAGCTTTCGACAAAGACAACACGGTAGGTACAACCCACGCTGCCATTTATATATTCGGCACCGCTACTCTGTCACCTTTTACCTTGCGCTTGTGGTGTGGTGGGTGTGCAGCGATTCGGTCCTAAGTTGCTGGTGTTGTCGAGTTCTCACCGGACCAAGCTCTCACATCACCAAGTGCGGAGCACCGTGAGGTATCCAGCGAGTCGCATGGAGGGTGCGCTGCTGAGACAGATCGTGCGACTACGGTATAGGCCAGACGCGAATAGGAAGTTCTAAAGTCGTGGACGTTCTTGTCAGTTGTTCACGCGTAAACTAGAGGCGCTGAGGGGCTGTATTAAGTGGTTGTCTAGGTGCTGTCACCCCCTCTCTTGGTCGGCTTTAGGTGCCTGTCGTCCTGCAGCAATGATAGCTCCAAACAACTCCTCTTGACTACTTGCACTACCCAGAGTTGCAAAAAACATCTCCTTGTCCGTGGATTGGGATGCCATGGATGCGTCATCTGCAGTGTTAGTCAATGTAGTCTACTCATACCTTTTTCTGCAAAGACTGTTCTTCTCGTGAGCGTTGGGATGTGTCTCTCTTGTGCCCGTACCCGCCTGGCCGGAAACAAACTATTAGACTATATATAGCACAAGAGAGCCCGCTTGTTTTCTGTGCGGGTGAACTTTGAGGAGCGTGGTTCGATGTGCTACCCGCTGCACTTCACCACTGCTTACCAATGAACCAACGTGTAGGTGGCTCCAGGAGAGTGGTTCGATGTGCTGTCCGCTACAGCTTGAAATTCACGGCTGCATATCCATGTGCTATCCAGTACAGCACACGTGTTGACTCTGGCTGTACACATTCAGCGGCGATTGTCACGTGAACTTGTATACTGCTGTTTGCTGTACTAAATAGAATGCTACCACTGGGATGCTATATGCCGACGATGCCGGCATTGTGTCGAAGTCCGCCGACGGCCTGGCGAGGATGATGACCATTATCGTGGAGGTGTTCCGGGAGTTCGGGCTGACGGTGTCGGAGAGGAAGACGGAGACCCTGGTGATGCGGGTGAAGGAGAAACAGCGACCGCCGCCGACGCCATCGCCGCCGCTGACCATCGAAGCAGCGGGGCAAAGGTACGCACAGACGACCGAGTTCCGATACCTGGGCG